TCTGATTTATTATGATTTTCGTTTATTATTCAAGTTTACTTATATTATATTATACTCAAAACATTCTGTTAACTAACGTTTCCGTATTGTAGATACATCGATGATATATTCATCACTATCAATCAAATCACAGATAAAATTAAAGAAAACCTTCAACACGCAGCCAAAACAGTTATAAATATTAAAATTCACTATAAAACTAATACAATGGTCAATTTTTGGAATATTACTATAACAAATGACCATGGCCAATTAAAAACATCCCTTTATCATAAACCAATGGCTGAACCTTATATGTTGCCATATTCTCCGATTATCCACGATACATTCATCGCAATATACCATGTGCTGCTTTACTACGTGCTCCTCGTATTTGTTCTGATGTAGATGACTTCAACAGAGAATGTATTCGTATGGATGTGTCATTGTTACTAAATAATTATCCACCAAATTTTATTGCAAACCAATTCTATCAATTTTTCCAACTAAACAAGGCCATGTCTATTGTGAACAAATTGAATAAACAAGTCTATCATCAACCAAATCAACAATGGATGTATCAACCTACACGACGTCAAAAGCAACTTCATCAAATGATACAACATCCAATGCGATCACCAACAGCATTGCAGTAGAAGATATGGAATACATGCATCATATCGCCATGATATTTGTTCGACAGTTCCACATCCATAACTTTCCAAAAACAGTTTTACCAATCGTGGTGAACTCACTATGCACATGACGGATCGTTGCGGAATGATGCTTAAGTTCGACTAGCCAATACTACACAGCGAACACTAGAAACATTTCTTATCTACAACAATTCCTCGCTAGCGATGTTAACATGTATAGAAGATGGACAGACGCCAACTAACGGGTGATGCAAAAGTTCTCGGAAAAATGTCGCTTCATTTTTCATGGGATATAACATATCCTGAAAAAAATCAAAAACACATATTCAGGGTCTACGTTGAAAGCTCTTTCTAACTGTGTGTTCAAAACAACTGTAGCATGTCTTGTTTTTGAGTACTAAGCAAATTTTTGAACAGCACTAAAATATGCTCTGTAAAAACAGCTCGAAATGACTGTAGCAGGAGAAAATAATTCCTAAGTCTTTTCGAATTATCTTCTATTTCTTCAGTAGTATTTTTTGCTCTACTCTTCGTTGAATTTGCCGTTTAATTCTTCGGAAACCTCTTGCTAAATAGTAGAAAATTGCTTTTTATAACATGATGAAAAATTAAGAAACAAGGAGATACGAAACATTAGTAAAATTTGGATATGAAAACGGTAATGGGTGTATACGAGTTATTTGGGTTTTTAATAGCACCATTTTATGAAAACATATGAAATGATGACGGCAAGAATTTCAGGATACTACCGATATAAATACCTCAAAGCCTTTATGTCGCAAACCTGCAGAAAGGACGAATACGAACATCGAGCATAACAAAAAGAGCATCAATCTGGTAAATAGTTGGCACTGCGGGGTAAGTTTTTTTCCGGTATTCTCTGAAACGATGCCATAATAAATTATGCATGGTTTGTGTTACGGACTAGCCCTCACATTATCCAGGTCTTGTTTTCTTTTCTTCTTTTCTGTCGTTATATGATTTCACTCTTTGTCGTTATGATTACATATATCTTTTTCCTTTGTTGTGTGATATCATCCTTTATTCTTGTGTTCGTTTTCTCTTTCTTTCCCTCGATCTATTTATTGGTATATATACACGCGTTTCTTCTCATCTCTTTGGTCGTATGTAGTTAGTGGTTAGATGTGTGTGTATTTCGTGATTACAAAATAAAGAGGAGAAAATTCATCTCTAACAGTTTGTCAATAATTGAATGAGGAATTTAACAGAAAAAAAAGATCAACACTATCCAATAGAATAGACACAATAAAGTTACAAAAATCTTTGCGGCAACAATTTCGAGTTTTTTGACAGAACACATTTTAGTGCTGTTCAAAAATTTGCTTAGTACTCAAAAACAAGATATGTTAGAGTTTTTTGAATACGCAGTTAGAAAGAGCTTCCAACGTAGACCCTGAATAAGTGTTTTTGATTTTTCCAGAATATGTCATATCCCATGAAAAATGAAGCGACATTTTTCCGGGAACTTTTGTATTACCCGTTACTATCAGGTTGCAACGGACGCCTATAAGACAACATAAAAAAAAAGTTTATTTTTCCTCAACCATTTATCTCATTGTATCTCTTCTTTAAAAACAAAATAAAACAAAACACCATCATTAAACTGCAACTACCCTTTCTCTAGAACATAAAATATTTCTCTCAATTCAAACATTAATCATAATGTTGATATTTGATTCTTTTTGATAACCTGAATTAATCCACCACCATCGCGAAAAAGTTCCAGATGAAAGGCGGCTCCAATACCAGTGAATCAATGGCTTACTCGGATCAACAACAGAAACCCAAAGCTGAAATGCGTCGTCTGTTACTTTCAATCCATCTAATATGAAACACGCCCACACCGACACCCATTCACATCCATATCCAGACCGACACTCACCTACACCCATACCCACACCCACATTCATACTCACACCCTCTCGCTCGCCAAATAAATACAGAGAAGAGGTGGACTGTTTTTTTAGGCTGACGCGCATGTGGATTTATATTTTTCGTCAGTTTTAGCATATACTAGACGGAGAATATCTTTTGATAGGAGAGAATCTTTTTGTCTTTCGAGAGAAGATCAAATAGTTTATCACATAGTTTCATTTAGATGCGTGTGTAATGTAATAGGGTAATGAACCAAGAAGCATACATGAGCGTGGAGGTAGAAAATGGATTCTATAGATAATGTTCGTCGAACGCTTTTCCTGGTGTATATTTTAAGAGTTAGTGTGGTGATTTTGGTTTTAAAGGTTAGGTGTTTTATGCCTCCAAAAATAGTCTGTTGTTATAGGTAAAGTATGGAAAAATCTTGATGGAAAGTTTAGTTTTTCGCAGATTCGTGTTCATGGTAGTATTGGATGGATGAATAAGGCTTTCACAGTTGAATATTGATTCTCAATTGCCATCTTCACGTGGAGTACGATTCTGAATAGTTGCAAGTAGTTGTTGAACCAAGTTAATGAATTCGCTTACATCTTTATGTTGGTGTTTGCTGGACACACTTCGAAGTGGATCAAAATAAAAGTATAAATTTGATCCTAATTTATCACGATCGCTTTTTCTTTCCATGATTCGTGATGATTGAAATATGCTGATACCTGTATCACGATCATATGCTTCAAACGTGGAAACAAGCCGCTTTCCTCCACCACCCGGCATATCGACAGCGAATTGAGGCATATTAAAGCCAGCTATCGAACCACGAAGTTCTTTTTCAAGATCAATAGCAGCTGCAAGTGTCGTGCGAAATTCTTCACCTCCATATACCATGTCATGTAAAAATACATAATAGGGTTGAATATTAATGTACGATAGATATTTTATTAGTTCATGCATTGTGTGGAAATTATCATTGATACCGCGCAATAGGACAGTCTGATTACGAACATGAACATTAGCTTTATATAACTTATCAGCAGCCGCTTTTGTCACATATGTGATCTCTTTTGGATGATTAATATGAGTGTGAATGGCGAATGTCTTTGACTGAGCAAGTGCTAGTTGATTTAACAAAACTATGGCATCGAACCATTCTTTATCATTAAGAATCTTCATGGGCATAACTGACAAGCCTTTTGTGGCGCATCGTATGCGTCGAACATGTTCAATATTAAGTAATCGCTTTCCCAAATCCAAAAGAACATTCCACGGAAGAAGATAAGTATCACCACCACTTATAACGACATCTTCGATTTCATCATGTTGTTCAATATAATCATAGATCTTTTCAAAACGTGATTTGCTTGGAATTAACTTAGCTTTGTTTTTGATGATCTCTGTCTCCGAACCGACAGAATAACTTCGTGTGCAAAATCGACAATAAACTGGGCATATTGAGGTAGTCAAAAAGACATACTATGGGCTATTTAATTTCAGTCTGAATTTATCAAATAAAAATAATACTTGATTTCAAACTGAAACGTGAGTCTAGAAGTGAGGGGGGGCGGTGACTGAGGGTGTGGGTGTTGGTCTGGGACCCACACACACACCCACACCCATGGTGCGGGTGTAGGCGCGCGAGTGAGGGTGAGGGTGTGCTTGTGGTTTTGTGTACTATAGGCTTTAGTCCCTTGCACAGGGGACTAAGCGGGGACTAAGCTTTTTGTGGGGGGGACTAAGGGGGACTTTGCAGGACTAGGGGGGACTAAGGGTTTTTAGTGAGACTACGTAGTATCAAGCGAGAAAAGTTTGATTCGGAAGAAATTGGTGTGGTTTTTTTGATTTTAGAATTCAGTTTGAAATAAAAAAGCCCATAGACTCCAAAAAGAGTACTCTATCTGGATATCGATGAACAAGACCCGGAACAGGAGAGTTCTGCTGTTCATGTAATGAGTCTAATTTTAGCATTGGGTGATCAGGTTCAGCTGTACTATGGACAGGTAAAAATTGCTTTCGTATGGGACAGTTGTATATATTATTCCAATCAATAAGGGATGCTATATAAGGTGTCAATTTCATAGACATGGTTGATTTTGACTGAGCTCGTTGAAAGTCAGAGTAAAAATCAGGAAAGTTCTTTAATAAATTAACAATTGTTTTAGCATTTAATGTGTTTCGTAATTGCCAATTGTGGTCGAGAAGGTCCTTGTCAGTGACATTTTCATAGAATAATACATTTGTCCAAAATAGATTCGGATGCAATCGAGAATAAATGAAACGAGCCAGCATATTATTTTCCTTGTATCAAGATAAAAGAAAAACATGATAACTGATTTGTAGTTCTCTATTAAAAGAGAGTCAAACTAACCTTCGTGTAAAAAGTCTTTGCACAAAATATATGTTCAATTTTCTTCCACTTAAAAGTTGTAGGAGACGATTCAATGTAGTCAGCTAGAATGAAAATTTCATGCTCTTTCTAAATATATATTCAGAATTTTTTTTTCTCAGCTAAAGTTAATCTAGTAAGAGCAAATCTTTGATAGGTACCAAAAACGACGTTTGTACAAAACACTAGTTTCAAAGGACTTAATAACTATGTTTACTCATTTTCCGGACATGTAACTGTAATTGAAGATGATCGAAACTAGTTAGATAGAACTAGAATTCGAAATTCTTTTTAAATATGTCCTTCGAACTTTCCCCCCGACTTGCGGCTAGTGAACCATACACAAATACCTGATTAAATAAAAAATGTCGTTTGTATCACACAAAATAAGTTTTTTTTATGATGTGAAATTTCTCGAAAGAGTATTTTCGAATATATTTTCTTTTCCAGTTTTATAGAGAATTTCATACTGTACAAAATCATGGGTTACAATAAGCTATGTCTGAAAACAGTTTTCCAAATGCCATTCTGCAGATGAGATGACATTTTTCAAAATAACCGCTTTTTGAGAATTTTGATATTTACAATACAATAGATTCTGGCGCTTTTCAGCAATATGTGGAAAGCCAAGCAAATTGCTGACATTGTAGAGCAAGCTTCGCTCTACAAACTAGCATATAAAAAGGCTGTCTTATAATTAGAATCGAGGTACTTTTAATCAATGTACAAAAATGCACTACATCGAAAATTCTGTACAATCTTTGTTTTTGGTTCCCATCGAAGATTTGCTCTTACTGGATTAACTTTAACTCAGAAAAAAAAATTGGATATATATTAAGAAACAGCATGAAATTCTCATTCTAGCTGACTACTTTTGATTGTCTCCTGCGACCTTTAAATGAAAGAAAATTGAACATATATTTTATGCAAAGACTTTTTACATGTAGGTTATTTAATTCATTCGTTTACTACGAAGATTATTTAGCAGCGTGTTGACATGAAAGTAGCAGAATGTTTTTGTGTACTCAAAAAGTGAGTACACTCTAGAATCGGTCAGTATGTCCGTCCGGCCGTTAACACGATAACTTTTGAAAGGAGAGTCCAATCGCGATGAAATTTTCTACACAGTTCAGTCTTAACAATGTCTCGGTCGAGTTCGAAGATGGGAAGAATTGGCTGAACCATTCTCGAGTTATTGCAAAAATACTCATTTTTTCCTATGGCTTCCTATGCGAAAATCGACCCAACCCCGCTTTCGTAAAAAACTTTTCCTATCATAGTCAAATAAAACCGCAACTATTATGTACCATTCGATAGAGAATTTCAAGAGCTACAAAATGGTATATAAAACATAAAGAAACAAGAAGGTTGACTCATCTATCACAAAGATAATTAAAGAGAACTAGGTTAGATTTTTGTCCACGATCTAATTGATCCACAAATAGAGCTCTATCTTCCGATCACAGTGATGATACTTCGAGGTTTTCTGAGATGGAGAACTAGAATCTGTATTCCACTTCCATCGAAATACTATTGGTTGAGCAGTGACCAATAGAAATCAA